AATGAATAGATAGGAAACAAAAGTGATGGAGTTAGAGAACAAACTTAAATCATTGCAAAAGCAAATTGGTTTAGATTCATCCAATAATATCCAATATCACACCAATTCAATCATTGCATGAAATGAAAATATAAAAAAAATGTTAAACATTCCATCTTTGTCAATTACTGCACAGCACTCAACATTTTTCACCAAAGTAAATAAAAATGAGTCATATCCGATTATATTAAACCATCGTCCTCACAATTCACTAGACCCTCTAATAATATTTTTCAATAACATTTTCAATAAGTTTATTATAGACCTTGAAAATGAAAGTCTACCAATTTTATATAATGTTTTAAGCAAAATAAGTTCAATAATTGAAAATATGTCAAAACATTACCAATATGAAAAAGATCGACTCAAGATGCTGTTAAAACATCTTAAAGATTTGTTGTGGCCTTTATAACAAATCAAAAATAAGGATGAATCCACTCCTGATAGGTTGTGACCATATTTTCACCAAAATTTAATGAGATTTTAACAATAATTTTACTAAAGATTAAAAATGAAATCGGCACTAGATTTTCTAATCTCATAATTCAAGGAAGTTTGTTATACGTTCATAATTGGATGCAAAATAATTTCAAAAGCCTTAGAAATTCAAGTAATTGCCCTTCAATCATAGTTGCTGTGGCCGGTTCATGGCTCTGTATTCTGGGTGCAATTTATCTCGAAAAGGGTGCCATTAACCCACTTATGCTCTTTATACCTATTATTCAATCTCATGAACACAAATACCTCCAAATAGTTACAAGATTATTTGAATCATTGCATCTTGCTGCTGAGCGATTAAGAAATTTCTATAAGACCTTGATTCCTTTAAGTGATTGCCAATAGCTATATCCTTTTCCGAATAAATATTTAGACAAAGGAATGATTATTCCATTTTTATATAATAGTTTGTTAACAGAGAATCATAATAGGCTTATTTGGAAAGCCACTACAGATAACAACTATCTAATTCTTGTACAATTTTCACAAAATTACAATACAGCCGCACATAAATTATGTGCTAAGGAGGGACTTGCACTCAAATTTTGTATGAGTGTACTATGATAGTGAATGGGTGGTGCATGGTTGTAGTTGAACTCACTGAAGGAATATATTTGTATGATATTAAAGTCATTGATCAAGAACATAATACAGTAATGAATAATGTAACTAAGATGATCCAGCTACTACATGATAATGATCTTGTCTTCGGAAACCTTCATAGCAGTAGTATTTTAATCCAAAATATTGATAACAATATTCAGGGCATGTTATTTGATTTTTCTCTATATGGAGAAAACCAAAAGCGCTATTATCTATTTTTAATTAGTCAAAAAACTAACTGACTACCTGGAGTAGAGCCTTATAGGCTTCTGAACAAATCACATGATTTATATTATCTAGATATGCTTCAGAAAAAAGAGTTAATTTGCTAGTATAAAACCTTACTATAAAAATAGTTCTTTGATATTATATAAGTGGTAGTATAGAAGGACTATTTTCATAGTAAGATTTTTTTAGTCTTGTATGATTTTTTAAGAACCAAGTTGTCCTCATATATTAAAAGAAGGTTATGAAAAATTGAATAACCAATCCAAGTTGGCCTGGCAGAATGTTGAAAACGACAATTATCAGAAATCAATAAAATATATGATAATAGCAAGAACCTTGTCAGATATATGCAGGGTTTTGATTAAAGGTATTATCATTATTAAACATCAAGCAAATACTTGCAAAAGGAACTGATTGATTTTTTTTTTTATTGTATAAAACAAAAATATACAGGGGTCTTTGATTAGAATTTTCATATTATACAAATATAAGAGGTTGTAAGAATATCTAAATTACTAAGCTAAAAAAAAAAAAAGTTAAAACTAGACTAACTAGGGTTAGGGTCCTGTAGCTTAGTGGTCTAGGCATCTAATCCTCCACAGACGAGGTTGACTGTTCAATTATAGCTGGTGGTAATTAATTGAATTAATTATCTTTGTAATCTTTGGGGGCTTTTGAATGTGGAACCCTGTGGTGGTAAGACTATGTGAAGTATATATTTGGCCAATAAAGAATTCTTGGAAGGAGTTCTGAGCTATGAAGAAGATCAGGCACTATGTGTAATATGAGTCACGGAAGGTATTACTGCAGAAGGCTGTATGTGTGAATCCACGATTGGCAAGGTAGCACCACAACCCTAAGGCAGCATTGGGATCTTGATTGGGAGGACAGCTATATAAAGTATATTCAAAAATGGTGAGAGAAGCAGTGAACATAGTAAGAGGCTGTGGTAAGAGAATGCTTTACCAAATATGGAACACCTCTGGCACAATGAAGAAACAAAGAAAACTGGTTAAAAGAAATCTCAAAAAGTATGGAAGCAAGCACCCTGGTAGTACAAATATAAAGACGGCTAGTGAGTATAGTCACACAACCTATATAGGAGTCTATAATGAAATACAGCAAAAGCATGGGTCCCGGGTTACTGCTTTGTGGCAGTAATTAAATGAGGTTCTTAACTCCTGTCCTAAGAATCTAGACTTCTGTATTACTATACCGATAGGGAGTACTTAAAAAGAGGTGGTAGTCTAATTAAGTAGTATACAACATTAATACCTGGACCCATGTGAACAGCTCTCCTAATGGTGGCAGCAGGGGGCTTGAGATATGGGTCTTTGGACGGCGGCAGCACCTGGCTTGAAATATGGATTAGGCTCTGAAGTAACATACTTGAGAAATACCAAACTGGAAGCAAGAAGAGTGCCCACTCCTAGGACACCAATTTGAAAGTTATACAAGATACGAATTAGGAGTAATGTGATAAGTGATAAAGGGTGAATTATAACTGATAGATGTTGTACAGTAGTATATATAGCAGGATGTATATAAATTAAATAGGTGAGCACAGCCTACTATTGATCTGGGAGAAAACCTCCTAGCAAGTTAGGAGCCAAAAGAGAGGTAAATCTGTAGCTAGACAGTTACACTTGGGCACCTTAGAGCAGCCGAGTGAGCTTTGTTACAGAGTCAGTGGGGTATAGTTTCTAGAAGTTTCTGTACTAATAAAACCTTGTATATCTTGATAAAAAGAGACACTTAACTACTAAAGATAATAAAGCGGGTACCGTTTAAAAAAAAAAAAAAAAACTAGACTAACTATAAGTAAATAGATGAAATTTAAAATATTTTTTCAGGTCTTATCTAGTTTTTCAAAAAAAAGAAATTATTTTGAGATCAAAACAGATTATGAGACTATAGTTTCTCTACTTTTTGAGTATAGGATTATTAGTGTGGTCAAGTAGTACAAAAAGTTAGAAGACTTTGACCAAAAAATGTAATTATGAGACAATCATCGCTCAAGAATTTCCTGTAGAATGTTTCATAATTAATATTTATATTTGGTAAAATCTCTGACTGTACTTCCAAATTGGTATCTTTTGAGTAGGTGCTCTTTTTGCATCCAGTTTGGTGTCTCTAGAGACGCTACTTTAAATCTTAATTTGTATCTCAAGCCAGGTGCTGCTGTCATCATAAGACTCATATCTCAAGCCACCTGCTGCTACTATTAGAAAAATTATTTCATATCGATCTAGGTATTCATGTTGTATACCATCAAATTAGGCTACTACTTCTTTTTATGTACTTCCTATTAGTATGGTATTACAGAAGTCTAGATCTTTAAGATGAGAGTTAAGTACCTCATTTAATTACTATCACAAGCCAGTAACCTGGAATTTGCATTTCTGCTATATTTTGTTATCAACTTCCATATAGGTTGTGTGATATATTACTTACTAGCTATCTTTATTTTTGTATTACTGGAGCCTTGCTTCCATGCTTTTTAGAGTTTCTTTAGCTAGTTTTTCTTGTTTACTTGTATCAGAGGTGTTTTATATTTAATAAAACCATTCTCTTACTATAGCTCTTTACTGTGTTCACCACTTCTCTTACTACTTTTGAATATACTACTTCATACTATCCTTCTAATTAAGTCCATTACTAGATGTTAGTGCTATTTAAGGGCCACCTCTTTGAGATTTTACATGCACAGCTTTTTGCAGTATTACTATTTATGACCCATATCATACATAGTGACTGTTTTCTCCATAGCTTGGATCTTTTTTCAAAAATTCTGTATAAGCCAAATATATATATTATATAGTCTTATCACTACAGAGTTTTATATTCAAAAGCTCTAGAAGGTTACAGAAATAATTAATTAAATTAATTACAATTAGCTATAATCAAACTGTTAACCTCATTTGTAAAGAGTTAGACACCTAAATAACAAAATAATAATGTTTTAAAATATGTTAATCTTCTGTATAATTACATGTTTTTTTACTTAAAAGCTTTTTAAAAAATATGGTTATAAGAAGGTAATTTTTTATAAATTTAATTATTTGTTTTTGAATACAAAATATAATAAATAAGAGGTTTTCATATAAGTAGCTGTTAATAGAAATCAAGCAAATCTATATTTGAAAAAAAATTAATACCTTAAATTACACAACACATATCTTAATGAATTTTAAAGCTATCTTAATGGTTGAATATTCAAAAGAAAGCTTGGATCATACGCTTTTTTTTGAATATTAAATCATCAAGATAGCTTTAAAATTCATCGAGATATGGGCTGTGAAAATTAAGGCACTAATTTTTTTCAAATATAGATTTGCTTGATTTCTATTGACAGCTGTCTATATGATATATTATAAAGAAAAGAATTATATAAAAGTACAATGATATTAAATTCAAAGATTAAGCAATTAACTTTTATTTATATATTTTTTTTACTTTTTAATTAGAATAATAATTTGAATTTATTATATATATAAACATAATTATGATAAATTCAAAATAATTTAACCATTATTGGACTGTAATATATAGATATAGAATTAAATTTATTAATTAAATTTTCTTAATATACAAAGCAACAACATATAATAAATCTAAATATTGATAATTTTATCATAATATATATAATATGATAGTTTTATCAAAAATTTATATGTATCAAAATTAGTAATTAATTTATTAATAAATTAACACATAATTTGATATAGAGGATCAATCTTCATACCCCCACATTTAATATTCATATCCCCTATAAAATTTAACTTTTTTTTAAACTTTGAGTGAAGATATCTTAGTAACTACTAAATTAAATTTAATAAACTTTTTTTTCTTTAAATTCTATAGATTTATAGAATTTAAACAAAAAAAGTTTATTGAATTAGCCCAGTAGTTGCTAAGATATCTTTGCTCAAAGTTTGAAAAAATCAAAACATCTACAAAATTTTCTTTAAACTTTGAGCGAAGATATCTTTGCAACTACAAAGCCAAATTGAATGAACTTTTTTTGTTTGAATTCTATGATTCTATAGAATTAAAATAAAAAAAATTTCATAGAATTTAACTTAATAGTTATAGAGTTATCTTCACTCAAATTTTTAAAAAAATCCAAAATGACTATTAAAATAGAAGCTATGCCAAATTTTTTCCCAAACTTTAAGCGAAGATAACTTAGCAACCACCATGCCAAACTTGATAAATTTTTTTATTTAAATTCTACAAATTCATAGAATTCGAACAAAAAAGTTTTTATCAAGTTTGGCTTGGTGGTTGCTAAGATACTTTTGCTTAAAGTTTGGAAAAAAGTTTGGCACTGCTGTTTTGATAGACGTTTTGGATTTTTCTTAAAATTTGAGTGAAGATAACTCTATAATTATTAAGTTAAATTCTATGAATTTTTATTTTATTTTAATTCTATAGAATCATAGAATTCAAACAAAAAAAAGTTCATTGAATTTGGCTTAGTAGTTGTAGAGATATCTTCGCTCAAAGTTTAAAGAAAATGTTGTAGTTTGTTTTACTTAGCACTAAATCCATTCCGAAGTATTTTAAATCTTACTATAAATGAACATCCTTTACTATGGAATGCGCGCTATTTTGGAACGCTCATGAGCGTTATTTTGAAACTATATATATTATTTTTAGGGGCACGATTTTCGAAATAATGCTCATGAGTGTTATTACGCGAAAATATGGTATGTAAGTCTACATTGGATTTATAGATCTATGTATAATTTTTAAATATAATTTATATAAAATTTCTATATAGCTTTATGTAAAAATGTGCTTGCTGATGAAGTAGGCTACATAGAGAAATTTGGGCATAATTACTGTAAGTATCCATAGATAAGTAGAGATACTAGACACTCAACTAACAAATTAGTATTCAATTTTACCTATCCGAAGATATGTGAAGATATGTTAATATAGCTTTAAATTACTGTACACCTTTTGGACCAATCTCATAACTTAAACTTCATAAATTAAATAACACCTTTGGAGTATTTTAGAGAGAAATTATATTACATTGTTATTTTTTTTATATATGGCAACATTGATTATTAATTACGTTTTTTACTCGTAAACTTTGCAATATTGTCTTATTTTTCTTTGATGCCTCAATGTACAATATATGACAGCCAACCTTGGATCTTTGAAATACTAACAGATGAACTTTAATAATAATAGGTTGTCAAAAACGACTTTAGCTATCTTCATATACAGAAAGTGGCAATAAACTTGTAACATCCTTTCGTTGTTACATATTTCTGCAAAAAAATTTTCCCTATTCGTGTAACCCGAGCTTCCGGAATAACTAAATTTGCTCAAAATCACCAAAGCTTTACTAATAAACCACTAGCTAAAATTGCTCAGATTGATGACCAGCATTATCAAAAAGCTCGGGTTACACGAAAAGGCAAAATTTTTTGCATTTTTGGATTAATTGTTATTAAAATGATTTATTAATTTAACAATTCCCTATTAATAATTAATAATTAGAATTCCCAGCTATAGATATGAGAATCATCAAGGATGACCATGAAAAACGCGTTAACGTAATTATGGCGCAGCCACGGTATATATATTGCAACAATACCGAATATTTAAAAAAGATTTACAAATATGCGGCTAGAAAGAACCAATAAGTGACACTAACGTCATTGGCCGTCCTAGATTATTCGGTATGATGCAAATTACCTCTTAAAATAAAATACTATATATATTATCCGCATAGGATCGAACGAATTTGAATTAGATGAATCGTTCCAATGATGTCCTGCATCTCTAATAGGAATCGAAAATCAAATTGAAAGTTAGCCGAGTTTGCGTTTGCAATTAATCGATTCATTATAAATCTTTTCAAAACAACTAATGGGTGAATGACTATTTACTCTATTTACTTAATAAAGTTTTTATAAAAAATTTTTTTTATCAAATTAAAAAGATGGTTCAACTAATCTATCAGAAAAAATTTTGCCGATTCGGATCACTTAAATCCGGATCGACAGATTTTGGATCGCATCACTAATATGAACAACACAAAATACTCGGGTATTATTCTTGGTAGAAACGTAAACATGCCAATCATGATTTAAAATTGTTAAATAAGACCTTTTTTTAAATTTGTATTTATAATTAAACATGTAGAAAATTACGGTATTTATTATTTAATTTTATGCCAAAAATACCCGAGTATTAACAAGTAAAAATACTTCTTTCTACGGCTTAGCATGGCAGTTTTTTGTTCGTGACATCACTTAAGAGCAAATTTGTGTAACAAATAAAAAATGACGGCCGAATTTTAAATGGGGGACCTAAAAAAGGGAGGCATTCAGTCAGTGCACTGAACACTAATAAAGAAATTAATAGTATATTTGAAAAGAGCAACCTCATACATATGTATGTAGAACACGAAAAAAGATGGTGGAATGCTCAAAATTTTGGTTGGGGAACGGAGTTGAAGACCGATGTTACACGATTATAGCTGTCGGAGTTCATGATGCGTAATTCTAGGCGAGGTGTTTTTTTTATAAACATTTATGTGTACAAAGTATTTAAAAGTCAAATATCGGAATTGTATGCAATTGTTTATATGAACTTTTTTATATATTAATTACACATTGTACTATAAAATTTCAGATAAATTATTTTGACAGAAATTTGACACTTTTTTTTTTTTTTTAATAAATAAACAATACAATTTGGTATATATATGTATGACGTGAAATGCGTGTTTATGAAGAAAATCTTATTAGAAGTGATGAAATCCTTTAGACTAGTAAAAAAAATTCTATTAAATTTTTCCTGAAAGGTACTATGTAAGGTATTCATATTTAACTATATAATTAATTATATAAAATCAATCAGTATAAATTTCGTCATAAAATCATTATTTCATGACGACAGACAGACTATCGTAAATAGTATACCTCTCTCGTTCCGAACAATTAGTGAAGAACACAAATTAATGATAGCAGATCACATTTTTAAATTTTTCCTTTGTTTCGTCATTCATTTCAGGAGCTGAAACGTGTGTGAAAATCATTTGTTTGTTACTTAAAAGCCAATTAATAAAAAAAAAAACCAAGTCGAAAATTATAAATTGAAATTAGAAATATTCCTGAACTTTTAGTATTACTTACATTTCTACGGTCATTTTTAGAGTCTACCAATAAAGGTCTTAAATTTCGGAAATAAATTTATCCAGGTTTAATTCTTTACCCTATTATTCGAATTTGTCGTCATTTACATATGCGCTATGATAATATTTATGTTATATAAAATTCTAAATAAATATAAATTGTATAAACTAAACTAAACTATCCCCCAAAATAGCAAAATTATTTTTTAAGAAAAAAATAAAATAGCGTAGAACTGAACTTAGTTAGGATATGAAGGCTACTTAAATTATGCGTAAATAATTGGTACGTACGTACGTGCACACAGATCACGGAATTTTCTCAAGTCTATCATAATATTATACATATTAAATTGAGATTTATTAGTGTGTGACTTAGAATTTTTTTGGCAACTATTTAATACAATTATAAAATATACATACCTATACGAATATATATATATGAATTATTTATAAAAAAAAAAAAAAAAAAAACTATAAATATTTGTTATATTTGAACCCTGATTATTCAACCCATATTTTTACGGTTTTGCTCTAAAAAAAAGAAGCGCAAATATGAATTTTAAACAGATTATTGAATACTTTACGGAATTTTATCCAAATTTTCCTAATAATCCAGTCCTCAATGATATTGAAGAGATTTCTCGTTTGATGTCAAGTTCTTCAAGGACAACAAATGATAGAGCAATGATAGCGTTAACCGTTGAATATGTGGCTCGTAATGGGGTTCAGACTAATGATAGGCAGTCCATACGAAGGGCTACAGCATATTTTTTATCTTTACTCCAACATCGACACCGTAACCAAAGAATTATATATAAAGACATTGCACATCGTGTAAATCGATATCGCGCCACAAGAAATCGTTTCCAACACCAAGACTATTTAGGAAGGCGTTCCCGTGCCCGTCCTATTTGAGTTCGAAAACTCACTCTAATTATCTGGTTGATCCTGATATTCTTTATGAAATTAAAGTTGAATTGAAGAGTTGAAGCTGGCCGTTTATTACAGGGGTGCAAGTTATTTCTTATTGCGCAAAAAACGATCTAACATTTGGCTATCGAAAACACATTCGACATTCGATTTTCTTTTTTTTTTTTTCGTCGCTTTATTTTGTTTTTAAATCGCAAACACAAACCCACTATTCACTATGACTTTTTCACCACCAAATCAAACCTATGATATTTCACCGACAGTGTTTAAAATTCAATGTAGCATGTATGCCACGTAATAAAATCCGCAGATTCCAAGAAAATTTTGGTTGTGCAGCATAAAGATTTTTAAACACTACCCCCGAACTTTCATATTATTATGCTAGCATATAGATACAAGAACTTGATTATTGATTAATTGTTTATTGTATCATTATTATGTACTTAATCTTTTACAGTATGTTCTACGAAATCTATGAATAAAAATAGTTACTATACATATAATTTAAACTACGCCTTGTGTTCTATACGATAACGAACTTCATTGATGTACCAATAAAAGTTATTTATTTGATTTCCTAACATATACTAGACTATATATATAGTATTAATACTATAATAATAGTATTAATATTATAGTAATACGTAGTATTAATATTATAGTAATACGTAGTATTAATATTATAGTAATACGTAGTATTAATACTATAATAATAGTATTAATACTATAGTAATAGTACGTATTAATACTATAATAATTTTTCTATATACGCTGAATATATAGTATATAAATATATATATAACTTATATATATATATATATTTAAAAAAATTAGGATTTCTAATTAGTTGCAATTATTGGCTGTTTTGCATTCGATCAAATATGCGTAGGCTTTTCTTGTGTGAATATATTATTGATGCAAAGGAAAAACAATGACACGTTGTACTCTTCAATTGATACACATAGTATAATACTAGTTTAATAAATATAGTAAATAAAATCAAAAATCGTTATTTAATTTTATTAATTATAATTTTCTTAACAAATAAACCATTTATGAATTTTTCCGAAGAAAGTCACTAAATTTTTTAATATTCGGCTTAAAAATTATCATAATCTAGATTTTAGAATTATATTCTTGATTACATATTCTATATAACACATAAATCTTTTATTTTGAAATTTAAAAAAATTTGAAGAAAAATTATTTTTATTAGTGTAAGTGAAATGTACTAATTTTGGTATAATGATTAATAATTTTGCATAAATTCGGTGAAAACTTTTGCCCGAATATTTCCTTATAATAAAATTAGAATTTCTAAAGATTCTACAAGAATCTTCTGAAATAGGGCTTTTGTTTAATAAATTTTTCCTACAACAAATCATAACCAATTTAGGCTTTTTTGACATATAAATGATAGGTTTCTGTTTACTTATTATCCCCATTGGACCATGTCAATGTATTTATTCCTGTGAATTGCTCTTAAAATTTACGCCTCGTACAATTATCGACATGTAATGTAGTTATTCAAAATATTATATTACTATATAATATAGTGATTAGTAATTTATTATGACTTTGTAATACACTTTAATAGAATAACTTGATTTTTCTATTGCCGTATAGTTATCATCAATTTGCATCTTACAATACTATTGTAGTTCAATAGAAGTTTCCGAAAAAGTAATGTGTGCAGGAGGGAATTCAAGGGCGGTGACTGCTCTTATGTATTTACGTGTGATAATCTTCGTATTCGTTCATTTTACACAAATATTTATTTATCTTTTTATCCTGAAATTAACTGTCAAATAACTTTTTAGGATTTTTAAAATTTGATAGCCTAATAATTTCACATATTTCGTGTAAAATGATTACGTACGTACGTAATCATCAGATATAATTATTATGGCGTTAATTTTTTTTTCAATATATGTTGCTATAATTGGATAAAACGATCATTGAGTATCGGTATTGATTCTCATACTTACGCATTTAGCTAATTAAATAATTATCGAATCATGGCATTAAATCTTATCATTCAATAATCAATGCTATATATCTAGACATAATTAATAAATTTCTACTCTTGGCCTGATTTAAGCGACTATATGCGTTAGTAATCTCTACACTTCTTATACCGTTACCACTTTTTGACGAAATTGCATTGGTTCCTCATTTGGTTTTTTTTTTTAATTTTATCAATAATTTCTTTTGTACGTGTAAATAAACATAAATTTACATTGAGAAAATAGGTCACTAAAAATAACGTAATTATGTATATAATTTAATACATCAAACTTAAAACTTAAAAGCCACGTTCTCATATTGTATGATTCGTTTCGGAACGTACCTTAAAACTTCAATCACTTTATATAGAATAAAGGTTAACTAACTCATTATAACTCATTAAAGATAAACTAAATTTGTCATCTCAATAGCATGCTATTACGTACATATTGTTCTTTGCTTATTGAGATCGATAATGTGCTACTAGTTTATGCATCATCTATACATAGAATATTGAGATTTTTAGATTTCCTGCACCGTACGTACATATATACTTTTAGATAGATAATTCATTCAATATTACATTGATATACCAAATAAAATTTTGTGTATTTATTATTTTATATACACAGCATTAATACCTTTTCTAAATTCAAAAAAAGTCACATACTCATACTAGATTCTGGTTTTATTCGTTCAGGAACGTACACACGCACGTATCTCTTTTTTTTTTATTATTTTATTTCACTTTTGTTTTTTATTTTATTTTTATTCTTTTATTTACACTTTTTTTTATTTTACTTTTTTTTTATTTACACTTTTTTTTTTATTTTACTTTTCTTTTATTTACTATTTTTTTTTATTTACTTTTTTTTTATTTTTATGCACGATAATTCATTCAATTTTAAATTCGATGGTTATGTACTGTACTGTACTGCAAGTACATACGTAGGTACACAAAATTTCATGTTTCATCGACAGTCCCTTTTTTTCTTTGTTTAAAAAAAAAAAACGTGTCTAACCATGCGTCTTAATTGAACGAATAATAGTGATTTCCCTTCAATAGATCACTCATGAATAATTCAAAATTTGCACAAAATATACGTAAATCACTTCTTTTATAAATCTATTGTGACTTTTATTAGTTAGTGGCAAACTTTATTATCGTTATCATAAGATTTAACAATTAAAAAACTTTTTTTATTCTATTCAATTAAATTATGTATATCATGCGCATAAATGAATTTGACAAAATGAAATTTGTAAATTCTTCATTTCGAGATACTGTAAACCGCTCAATATTTAAAATTTTTTTTGATACTAAGTTGTAATTATCTATATATTAACTTATATTTTTACTGGACTGTTAAGTTGATACTTTATTTGAACTGGCCGGGCATTTTTATCGGACCACATGGGACGTACGTACATACTATTTCAGTTACAGGTATTGCAGCATAAATATTTACAAATAATTGCCAGCAGGGCTTAAACGACTATATTGAAATGCCGGCCATTCAAGAGTGTCATTCTTGATTTATTGTGTATTGGAAATTAAGTGGCTGGTATCGTAAACAATAAGATGTACAATACACTAACTTTGATGAATCAAGAAAAACACATCAAACAATAGGCTGCAGGCCGGCAAATTACTATAGGATTTTAAGCCCTGGTAGAGACACCGGACAGATGCAATCACGTAATAGACACATAAAATGCGTTCTTTACTAAATTTAGGTAGTTTATGTGGCATTATGCGGTGAATTTTAAGCGAATAATAAAAGCATATGTATTAATTATTCGTTTGTTATATAACTACAGCATGTATTTATTGAATTCAATCAATTACAACGTATGTGATTTCTTTAAAAACGTCATATAGTCATTCGATAATATATTTCTTCGCATTGATTACTAAATTGGTAGCTTTTATTAATTTACTATATATTAATATATATATATATTTACTAAAGTAATTTGAAACGAATTTTTGAACTCTCAAAAACTATAAGCCCTGAAAAAAAAAAAAGAAGACAATTATATGCGTAATTTTAAATTTAAAATTTTTATTACTTCATTTTTTAACAATGTTTAAAAAAGACAATTGCTTCTATATATTTGAAAAACTTATAAAAGAGCGCTCAATTCCAACAGATCTCTTCATTCGTCTCAAAAAATTCATTTCTTTCAGTTATCAAAATTGTGATAATTGTAATAATCTTTACCCGATCTTTCTTAAATCTTTCTTCACGTATTTTATCATCAACCATGTATACCAGAAAATCTGTTTCTTTCATCTCGATCGCATTGGGCCTTATTCTCATTGGATTTATTCTTTCGACTTCTGCAAGTCCTCTACCTGGAAGAAAGCTTTCCAAAGCTCAATTATTAAAACGTTATTACGACGACGATGATTGCGATGACGACTATCCATACGGCGGCTATGGTGGCCGCTATGGTGGCGGCTATTATGGCGGTAGACCATATCATCATCTTCACGAAAACAACTTCGATAAAGATGATGATTACACACATGCCCATCATCATCTTAATAGGTTTAATAAGGATAGAGATGATGGCTATCGCTACTAAAATTAAGCTCAATACTTTTCCAAAGCTTCATTTCTTCTAGAGTTAATAAAATTTGGTCTTCATAAATAAAATAAGAAATTTTAATACCTGCTGTATATGAATGTTCTTTAATTTTAGAATTCAAATATAAATGTAATAGATAGAAATGTAATAGTTAGAAATAAGCTAGGAGATTTTATATAATTTGAATAAATACTATATGAAATTTTTACTTGGGATATTAAACTAAATATCTACAACGCGTATTACGCCATTCGCTGCTACAATATAAATAACACTTTGATTTATCTTGTTGTTACAGTATTGCCTCTGATTTGTTTAATAATCTTTGTTACATTTAGTTAAATTTCGGGTTCGCAAAAAAAAAAATCTTGTGCGCTGAACCTTAATCTTTTCTTTTGCTATTACTGTAATTAGAAAATATTGTTATGCTCTGAAAAATAATCGACTAATACATTAAATGTAATGAGACATTAAAGAGATAAATTCGAAAGAATTGCTTCTAAAATTTTATGTGTAAACATTGAAGACGTGCGCGTGAGCGCGCGCGCACGTGCGTACGTGCGTACGTACGTACATAAATGTTATTGTGGCGTTTAGACCCTGTAATTTGTTTTTTTTTTGTTGTTACAAAATGATAACGTCATTTATCGCTATGGTCCATCTAATCTCATCTTCATAATGTTAACAATTGTTGTGCGACTTGTACAAATAACTGTCAAAAGGATTTCCAAAAATATCTACGGCGTTATAATAAATTTCATGTTACTGTTACTTGTTATTATTTGATTAATCCTTATAAAAAATTATCCGTACGTACGTACGCTTAGGACCACAGTCCAATTCTAGAAATTGTTTATGCAGAATTATTTATTACTAAGATTATCTAAGATAACCTAAACCTAACAGTATCTATAACATCAAACATATATTTTCATTTTAGAGAGAAAAAAATAATCGAAATAACTTAAATACCATTGCTGATGACCTATTTTTAAATATGAAACCTTTAAAAGTTTTCGTGTGAACTTTAAGTTAGGGTTATATTTAAGACCCTTAATGTCTAGTAGAATTTTTTATAAAGTAATTCTTTTATTCGTGTTTTGGAAAGGCAATACCTAGTTTTGTCTTTTGTTAAGATTATGTCTAGTAGCATCAAATTATTTACGTTAGTGATTACTCACAAGATTGAATCTGATTGGTTAAATTCTTGTACCTACGTATTAAATTAAATTAGTTGTTTCTCGTTACATGGGACAAGCAAATAGGACCCGGCCGGCCGGCAAAAAATGTTATATTACAGTAAAAAAATTTTTTTTTCATATATGGGATCTTTGCTAGGAAAATCACTCTTCTGGATTTTCCGATCGGGCTAATTCAGAAAAGCTTAGACCAGAATGCCGGTTCTTATTCATATGTAAACCATCTTTTTACTTTACTGATTCGAAGTTTATTTAATAAACTATCGAATAAATAAAGCAAATGTGATTTACATATGAATAAGAACTGGCATTCTGGTCTAAGATTTTTCGAATTAGCCCGATCGGAAAATCCCGAAGGGTGATTTTCCTAGCAAAGATCCCATATATTTAGAATCGATTTCAAAATATTTGATCGTTTGTAAAAACGATTAAAACAATTATACAGAAATGAGAATCGATTCTAATTCGATTAACAATTAAAACGATTATAGAATCGATTCACAGCCCTAGGCCAATGTGTCGAATTACGATATATAGTGGACGAGTGTAAATAACTTATGCTAAAATTTGTACCATGCTGATCCGGTAACATATATTACCATTAGGTTTATCACTGTTTCGAAATAGCTGAGAATAATATTCTCAAAAAAAATTTTTTTTTTTTTGCAAATACCGAATATCCGATCAGCTTAGAACATTAATCACATTGATCGAAGAACCATGAAATAGTAATTATTATACTAAACAATTACTAACCTTAAATTTTGATAAAGGATAAAAGGTAGTAGAGTCACCACCGTCGGTAAATACTTAAATTAAACTTTGTTATTTTAGATTGATGAACTATCATAAATGAGAAGAATAAATTATAATTCGGGCTTTCGATTTTATAATTATTATTACCAGAATTAGCATTTAAAAACCTGATAGTACAGTAGTAACGTCTACGAAATGTAATCTTATTGATTAGATTTTACACAAGTTGAATGATAAGGTTGAAAGTCCGATGTTTCATTTTCTTTTGTAGCGCACAAATAACATTTATACATTTAGATTTATACATTTAACCTATCTTCCTTTATCCCAGCTTGTTATTTTTTGTTTATTCATTTTATTTTTTTTCAATTAGCTATCCAATCTTATCAAATAATATTATACTTACACGTTATATTGTTCATTCACCATTTTATCTTTCAATAACGTTGTTAGTTATTCTTTTGGGATATTAATTCGCCCGCGGAAGAATCATAGTCCCGCGTTATATTGTTAACAATGATGATCACGCGATTTACAGGATTTACAGATAGATTACCAAAATTCAGCAGATCGGCTAAAGTTTGGTTGGAATGCATCGTAGTTACACCAAGTTTAAACAATAATAACGAACTACATTATATTGTCCGGGAAATTTATTTGGCGCATGGATTGCTGGATTATTGGCAAAATTTTATCGATTCCGTCCCTAAATTTGGCCGATCTGCTAAATTTTGTGCGGCCAATCTATACTGATTTACGACGTATCACCTAACTAATAGTCTATTTATCTATCTATATCTTCTATCTATTTCTATTATATTATTAAAATTATAATTCTGTCCGGAATAAACCGTATCTGATTGGTCTACTTTCATGTAACGGATTTTCTGTAGCCAACACACGATGATAATTTCTCCCCACAGTTCTGATTGATATTAGAAATATTGTTGCTAATCGGTCAAAATCTATCACAAGATTACTATGCTATCCCGATCTACATTTTCTAACTGCTACGCGCTGTAGATCAGTTAATGGGTATCCGTATGCTGTACTAAATTCAGTACAATGTACTTAATTTAGTACAGTTTTAAAAGTCAAATTTAAAAAAAATTTATTATTAACTTTAAATTAAATTTAACTAATATATAATCCTATACCTATATTTGATTTTAGTATATTTAAAAATTAGCTAGCTTATCAAAAGTTATATTAATAAGTTTAAAATTTAATTTTAGTACTAAAAATGACTAAAAAATAATTAAAAATTTACTAAATTATAAATAGCAAAAAATTTATTTGATTAAATTCTTATTAAATATTAGTTGAAGTTGTAGCTCTAGATTTACTGATTCTAATGATAGTAAAACCATTAAATTTGGTTTGATATATAAAAAGTTATAAGTAATTTGATTTAATCAATTTTTTACAATATTTTTACTATGTTTTTACTATGTTTTACTATATAAAATAGGAAAAAATTTTACCATTTTTGGACTTGTATCACTTTAAAACAGGTTTATTTAAACTACTTCAAAAAACTATTTTTTATTTTTTAAAATTATTTTAAAGTCAAACCCAGATCTAAAATAATTTAAAATTTTTAATTTTTTTTTATTTTCTTATAAACTTTTATATGATATGATTTTTTTTATACTATACTAAATTTAGTACGACAAAATTTTAGAAGAATGTAGAGTTTAAGATTAAATTATACAAAATTTTATTTATAAGTAATATTAAAATTATGCAAAAAGATAGCTCTAATATTCAAATATATTTTGTCAAAATTTAAATAAATTTGGTTAAATAATTAATTCAAATTAATTTTTTTTGTAAATACTAAATTTAGTATAATAGCAATATGGATACCCATTAAGCATATTAATATCCAAATTCTAATACTAATAACTAAACCTTAACCATAACTAACTACTAAAACTAATTACATTATAATCACTAAAACTACTAAAACTAATTCTAATGCATTAAACCCTAACTCTAACTAACTACTAAATCTAAATCTAATACTAACTGCTAAACTCTAACCCTAACCCTAACTAACTACTAAAACTAATTCCATTACTAATCGCTAAACCTAATCCTAACTAATTCTAATGCTAACACTAACCATTAAAACCAAACCCTAACTAACTACTAAATCTAAATCTAATACAACTGCTAAGCCCTAACCCTAACTACAAAGCACTATTGCACAACGAATCCAATAATGACAATCCAGCACCAAAAAGACTTAAAAACGATACTTAAAAAGAAGCTACAAAACCCAATGAATTAAAAATGACACCAATGTCATGAAACGGATAATAATAGAAAGTAAAGAAACTCAAGATAACACCAAAAGTGATGAAACGAAACCTATTGAAAGTGATGAAACGAAACCTTCCAATGCAATGAAACCTATTAAAAGCATAATGAAACCCACCAAATGCAACAGAAAACATAGATAAAACTCTAAAGATAGCATTGAGTTTGATGCTATGAAACATCTAAAATGCAGAATTCACACAACTAAACATTAGCAACATGCTACAAATTTCAAGAAATCAAAAAAATCCATGCATAGTAACCAAAGAAATGAAAAATCACCAACAACAACATGGAAAATGACGAATCTACTATCTGAATCTAACAACACCGAAGCATGAAAACGAAACTATAGCAATAACCGAAAAAGATGCTACAGCTACACCACCAAAATCGATGCGATCATGCTAACAAAGACTAATAAGCAAAAACTCATATAATGAAGACATTAAGAACGACGACAATTGCTCAAAAAAAAAAAAAAAAAAAGATTAGTAACTACACTACAGACAAGCAAACACTAGTAGCTGTGGCACCAAATGGCAATCCTTGCAGTATAAAACTTGAAATGGCAGCTCTAAAAATAGTGACGCCAGTAACAATGATGAATGGAGTCACCAGTAACAGCGACAACAATAATGACAATTCCAGAAGAAATGACGACACCAATGCGACTTGCTACCTATAAATTTAAAAAAAAAAGGTTAGTAAAATATG